TATAATAATAAACCCTCATTACAGGGTATATGAGATACAATGTGTAATAAACCCTCATTACAGGGTATATGGGATACAATGGCTAATAAACCCTCATTACAGGGTATATGGGATACAATGGGTAATAAACCCTCATTACAGGGTATATGGGATACAATGGCTAATAAACCCTCATTACAGAGTATATGGGATACAATGTGTAATAAACCCTCATTACAGGGTATATGGGATACAATGTGTAATAATAAATCCTCATTACAGGGTATATGAGATACAATGTGTAATAATAAACCCTCATTACAGGGTATATGGGATACAATGTGTAATAAACCCTCATTACAGGGTATATGGGATACAATGTGTAATAATAAACCCTCATTAAAGGGTATATGAGATACAATGTGTAATCCCTCATTAGGGTATATGAGTTACAATGTATAATAATAAACGCTCATTACAGGGTATATGAGTTACAATGTGTGATAATAAACCCTCATTACAGGGTTTAGGAGATATGTGTAATAAACCCTCATTACAGGGTATATGAGATACAATATGTAATAATCACATCAGGGTAAATGGGGTATCCATCACATCAAGCATTTATCGTTTGTGTTACAATCTGATGATACTCTCTGAGTTATTTTTAAATGTACAATTACATTATTACTGACTATAGTCACCCTGTTGTGCTATTGAATACTAGATTGTATTCCTGCTTTCTGTGTTTTTGTACCCATTAACCATCTCCACTTTCCCCCAACCCCCAACTACCCTTCCCAGCCCCTGGTAACCATCATTCTGATCCCTATCTCAGTGAGTTCAATTGTTTTAATTTCTGGCTCCCACAAATGAGTGAGAACATGCAAAGTTTGTCTTTCCGTGCCTGGCTTATTTCACTGAATGTAATGGCCCCCAGCTCCACCATATTGTTGTAAATGACAGGATCTCCTTTTTAATGGCTGAATAGTACTCCATTGTGTGTATGTAGCACATTTTCTTTATCCATTCATCTGCTGATGGACACTTACCAAGGAGGTCTTGAGAACTTGGAGCCCTTTCTCTAGGTCACTGGGAACATTCCTCTATTCAAGGCATTCTTTGGCCCCTCAAGCATGTGGACTACATTTTTGCACTGAATAAAAATATATTCCTTCATTGGGCATGTGCCCAGGGTGCGAGATTGCTTTCTAACGGGAGTTAGGTCATTTATGTTTGTTTTTAAGCCCCTTGTCTCTTAAACATTTAACTTTCTTCACTTGACTACTTCTTATCTCACCTCCCAACAGGACTGAAAACTGGATATTTGGTCCCCATGGACCTTCTGGTCACCATGTGAGTTGGACTTACTTTTCCTTGAGTCATTTGGAAGGACTGTGAAGTCCAAAGTTGTTAAGACTCTCAGGCTTACAGAGGTTCTGGATTCCAAGGCAACATTTCTTTGAAGAAACAAGCTTACAGGTGAGAACTGTTAACCTCTGTTCTAGAGTGTTCATTGCTCTGAAATTCTAGAGCACCAGAGGAAGTATGCTGACAAATAGTTGGAAGCCCTTGTCTGTCAGTCATTTTAGTAGTGGGGGAGCCAAGTATGGTGGCTTATACCATAATTTCAGCACTTTGGGAGGCTGAGGCAGGAGGATCATTTGATCCCAGGAAGTTGAGGCTGCAGTGAGCTGTGATTACACCACTGCTCCAGCCTGGGTAACAGAGAATTAATTTTTTAAGTTTTTAATTAAAAAATTAAGGGAGGAGGGAAAAGGAAGGAAAGAATAGTAGGGAAACTGTATGCTCATTTCTGCATCTATTTTTCTATGGGGTTGTGGTCTTTTCTTTTGATTTATAAGAATTATACATTGAGAATACTAATTTTTTGTCATATATATACTATAACTATTTCCACCCCATTTTTTGTACTTTGTGTAATACAATCTCTAGGCTTTGCAAAAAATTTTTAATTTTACTTAGTTAAAAATGTCAGTCTTCCCTTTACAGTGTCTTTGTGTTGTGTTTTGCTTAGAAAGACCTGCCCATTTTAAGGTTTCTTTTTAAAATTCATGTTAACACAGATAAAGGAAACTGTAATGAGAGCTGGGAACATGTGATTCTGAAAAAGACTATTGAAGGGGAGTATTTCTACGAGAAAATATAATACCAAACTAATGCTGGCATTAAGATTGGCCCTATATTGATAAGTGTTGAAGTTGGGAGATGAGTATTTGAGATTTCCTTATATCATTATCCTACTTTTGTACATATTTTACTTTCCATAACAGAGGGTTTTTTTTTTTTTTTCCACCAAGAAAAGAATAGCA